CATGTTTTCTTCTTCAGCTTGTAGTAAAACGTTGAATAATAAACATATAACGACTGTTCGACAGTGACATAACATGATTGTTTGCCTTGCCTGCTGTAGGAGTTTGGCTCCTAATGGCTAAAAATCTATACGGTATTCTTATTTTATGGTATTAAATTGGCAAAGACTTCAGAATTTACATTTACCGGCTACTAAAAACGTATTTAGCTGTGTGTACACAACAAGCAATCAACAACAGACTCCTTTGACACGCACCACGCAGCAAACAGAGATAAAACTGATTATGATTCAATTTACTCACTGCAGCAGCTCCAGATACAACACTACAGATCAGAAAATACACATTGAATCAATAATAGAAAAGAGAAATGTGTGTAATTATCATTTTTTATTAATAATAGTTCTACAACAATGACTTCTGCTACTAAAACCGTACATGTGCGCTTACTACCACCTCTATCATTTATGAAATGGTGAATAATAATACCAATAGCACTGCTGATACTCTTATAATTAATAAGAATCTATACCAGAAGAATTAATGGCAGAAGAGAGACACTTTTTCACTGAACTCAGAATAAATATTGCACTTGTCTTAACCAACATGTTAAATCCTCTCTGAAGCTGTACTGAAGCTCCTTTCTACTGCATCTAATGTTTATTTAATGAATTACTAATCTCACAGGACCAGTGCACATTCAGTTTCCTGCACATTTACTGTACGTCAGTTTAAATTCTGCCCACAAAGTGCTGTGTTTTAGTAGATCTGCGTTCCTCCAGCGCCGTGCTGCTCGATCAGCCCGTCAGTCTGTCAGCTGCTTGCTCGTGCTGATGAGAAAGAATTTGGGATTAAAGGGTTTCCTCACTTTCTGACAGATGCACCCTGTGAGTCTCCTCCTTTTATCTTTTTATTTATTTATTTATTTTTTTTTTTCTGGCCTCCGGTCTGCATCTCCAGCTGACTGTGCCAGTACACGCTGACTGACTGACAGCACAAACTGAGGCCATTCACTGAGCTGAGAAAGCTAGCATTTTGATCGTTTGATTGACATTTTGTGCTTTTATGGAGAGGTTTTTTTTCTTGTCTCTTCTTCCTGTGTTATTCCTCTGTTGCTATATGACTCCTTTATATCTGTCTGTCTACAGTAATGACTTCAGCCGTATGGTAGCGGAAGAGTATCTGAGTTTCTTCAACTTCACAGGCCTCGCTCTTGACCAAGCATTGCGGTGAGAACACACAATGCATCACTGGAAATCTTTAAATGCATGTAATTCCCTCTCCTGGCGTAAGAAGACAGCAGCATTGGCTTTTTGAAACACTTTAATGGTCCCTTTCTGCTCTAATAATTAGTTGACAGCGTTTTAATTCTGCTGCAATAACCAACCTGTAAATATTTGTTCTATATCATCCTGTTATTTTAGGATTAATTGTACATGTCCATAATAACATCTTTTGTAAGTGAATGCTTTCACTGACATTAATACCACTCTACGCTGTGAATGAATGATGCTCTGCTTGGAGTATGATCCGATCTTATCTTGATATTTACAGTTTCTTGTTGTTGCTGTTGGTGTTTTTTCGTTTTTCTCCTGTTTTGTCATATTTAGGGTTTAAATTCACGCTACTATCTTGGTTTTGTTTTTGTGTAGTTGTGTACTTTCTGTTGTTGAAAACGAGATAAATTCCAAACAAAGAATGTCCAATAATTACATAGTCAATATATTTTTTTACGCCATATGAAAACGAGACAGTAAAATATTCCTGCTAGTTTGTTTAAAAATGTTAAATGAATGAATGCAAATAATAAACTCTTGTCTGGAACAATTCATTCTTATGATTAAAGAACGAATTTGTGCATTTTTAGACTGTGACTGTGGTCCAACCGCGTGTTCACTGCGCCTCACATGATTCTTAATCCTTCCTTCTGTGTGATGATGGCTTTGATTTGGCCTCAATTAGATGAAAATCTGCAGACGTTTTGCTTTAATCTTTGTTAGTATGCAGTGGAGACTCTCCACTGTTAAACACTGCTCTCTAGAGGGCAGCTGTGGCTTTGCATTTAGAGTGAAAAGACTGTACAGTATGTACAGTAAGTACTTAACAGAGGTTCATATAGTATTTTAATACTTTTATTTATAAAGATATACTGAGCATGCATCATCACCTGTATAGTTATACGCAGGGGGTACTGCAGTAATAACCATAAAATGTTAGGAAGGAGTTAGGTGTTAAAGATCTGCTGCTGACTGTCCCTGTGTTTGTGGCTGCAGGACCTTCCTCAGGCAGTTTGCCCTGATGGGGGAGACTCAGGAGAGGGAGAGGGTGCTGTCACACTTTTCAAAACGTTACTTGGACTGCAACCCAAGAGTCATACCATCAGAGGGTGAGTGCTGCAGAGAAAAATGGAGATTTATTTTTTATGTCGCAGCAGGCAGATGTTTTTCTATGGAGGCCCATTACTGCCAAAGTGATGGGAAGAAAAAAGAAAATTCATTATAATGACAAACTCAAAATAATGACTTTTAGATACTAATTCAGAATATTGAAAACATTTTTCATTATTTTGAGATTCTAAGTGAAAATATTGATAGAGGTTCTTATGATTTTGACATACTAATTGAAAATACTGAGGAAGTTTCTCATTATTTAGAGATAATAAGTCAAAATATTAAGAAAGTCTCATTATAATGATTTACCAAATCTTTTTATTTTTTCATCACATCAAATCCATCCTTCCATAGAAAAAGCTCTTAAATGTTAACACAGTGGGCATCTTATAGGGGGTATCATGAATTCAGTGGTGAACGTCGTTAAGGACTTTGTTTGGTTTGCAGTTTCAAGGCGACCCAATAGGGGGCACCCTTGAAACAGAAAGGAGACATACTTGAAGGTCCAGTGTGTAACATTTAAGAGAATCTATCGGAAGAAATTGGATGTAATATTCATAGATATGTTTTGTTTTTGTTTTAATATAGGCATCATTGTGTTTTTGTTACCTTAGAATGTTTCTACAGTAGCCCAGAACGGACAAACCAAACACTGGCTCTAGATTGTAGTTTCTCCTGCACACTTCACAGCCCGTTCTCATTCCCAGGTGTTCAGTTAGTTAGGTAATCTCAAACCTCACCTCTAGATGCCAGTAAATCACACACTGGTCCTTTAAAAATAATACAAATTCTAACATTTTAAGTTAATTTAATAACAAAAAAAATAGCTACCTCAACCGCTGTTAGCTAACATAAAGGTATACCAGATTAAATTTTAATGTCTGTAAGTTTTATTTCTATGCGAGGATGACCGAGCTAACACTAACTTGCTGTTTTCATCCCTTAGATGCAGTCCACACTCTCACCTGTGCACTTATGCTGCTGAACACCGATCTACACGGCCAGGTGAGTTATAACTAATAAGTGTAGGTGAGAGACTCTGTTGTACAGGATGTGTGCAGGTGTTTGGGGACAGGTGTGCTCAGTCAAGCAAAGGATAAACAAATAAAAGATTAAGTTTTTAAGAGCTGCAGTCTCCTCAAAGGCCCTTTTGATTAACTCTGGAGTTTTGGGAATATAAGACTCTGATCACCAGCTGATCTGGGTCTGCGGGTCTGCCTGCTGAGCTTCTTTCACCATCATTAATCTGCTACTTTTATAGTCAGAGCCTCCCTTTGCAAATCTGGGCCATTGGCGGCTCTCCTCAGTGATAGCACAGCTCTGCGGATGAATGATTAATTAAAGTGGCTGTAGAGGTGACTGGATAGGGGATCAGCTCCTTTAGAGAAAAGAGTGAATCTGGAAAGTTTCAACATATTTTAACAGAAATATACTGTAGGTTTAATCTCTGTTGTTACTGTGATCATCCTTACTGCCGTCCTCGCCTTTATTAGGAGACAGTGAGAGAGGAGACCGGTTTATACAGGCTGTGACTTTTTAAACTTTTTGAGTAATCGTTTCTGAAGTGAGAGAAAATGGTGCCGATCATACCTCCTACCTCAGCTGACTGAGACTGTTAAACTGTGAACACCGGATTTGCACGTACTTTCAGAAACACACAGGCTTATTATATTCTGTTTAACTGTATTTAGTGTACATCTTTTATTATATTTTGTTGTATTTTGATGTATTTTCTTTACTCTTTGCACTGCTGTGCCAGTTTGAATTTCTCCTACACAGGCTCAATAAAGAACTTACCCACATCTTAACTCATCTTAATATCCCAGAGCTAAATATGACATCTTCATATTTATTGTTTTACCTGAATTTTAAAATTATCTAAAAACCAGAGAAAAGCAGTAAATCCACATTTTAGAAGATTCAATGTGCAAATGTTAAACATTTTTGTTTACAAAAGACTTCAATTATTACTTGATTATCAAATTTGTTGCAATTGTAATTGTAGGCTGGATATTATCGACAATACTAGTGGTGATGCGATACCTGAATTTCATAACAGATGTCAAACCAGTACTTTATTCTATAGCTGTCTTTGATAAAAGGTAAATTCCTGCACAGTTGAAATAAAAAAACATTTATTTATAACGTTTCAGTACAAGAAATCAGACAAAATCTGTCTGATGAAGGTCGTTTCTACTTTGGGATACTCATCTCAAATGCCAAATATTTGAGTTTATACCTTTCTTTGAGAATTATAAAAAATTTTAATACATTTCTTATTAAATGTTGTTATTAAATGATTAAATTAGGAACTATTAGTTAAGGTATATACTAGGTATTAAAGACAATCTTTGGTTACTCTGATCATTTCAATAATAATCAGACTTCGGTCTGTGTTGAGGTTCAATACTTGGCCCTATTGACTGATCATTTCAGCACTCATCTGTCACCATTACTGTACCAGGTCTTCCAAAATTGACAAATTATTAATACATATACACACATATGTTTTTCAACCTCCAAAATACATAGACAGCATATAAGAGCTTTTAATGTAGAAAGGTGCTTTATTTAAACTGAATTAATAATTGAATAAACCACATAAGGGAGGCAGCTGGTCTTAAATAAAAGAGGAATGTTTGTAGTATTAGTGTGAAATAAAAGTATATTTATATTTATTCAGAACATCGGCAAGAGGATGTCGTGCACGCAGTTCATCGGCAACCTGGAAGGACTGAACGACGGCCAAGATTTTCACAAGGATCTGCTTAAAGTAAGCCACTTTCAAATCTAAAATAGCACACATACATGCACATGCTGTCACACACAGACACACATCCCAAATGGGAGCGAGCAGACTGTGTGCGCCAGCATTGTATTGTCCCTCAGATCTGTGCGACTGAGCCTGGCTGTCTGGCCTGCGCTCACTGCCAGCTGGCATTCACCTCATCTCCAGAGGCCTCCAATCAGAGGCCTGCCTGGGCCCGCCACTTCCTGGTACACTCCACTTACAGCGCGAGCCGGAAGACTAATTGTTATGTGATCAGGAGACGGGGAGAATAAGACGTAGCCGCCCTTCGGGGTATCTGTGCGTGACTTTGACAGCATTAGATTAGGCTATTAGCTTAACCCAGTTGAGTTTGGTCGCAATAGATCGTGAAGCATCAGACAGGGTTCAGACAGAGGCCTGGGGGCCACATGATGTGGCAAAGTAACCCAATCAGTGCGGGCTGCCTGTCCATTGGTGCGCCTAATGATGATGCCGTTGATTAGTTTTGTCTGCAGAGTGGTCCGTCAACATGCCACAGGGCCCCAGAGTGCAAGTCAACAAGTTGTAATGGGGTATTTATAATGCATGAGGGGGGAGAGAGGGAGAGGCCACGGCCGTCTGCTGAGATGACGGAGATTGTGAAATGAAAAGCTGTGCCTGTTATTAAGGGCAGATAGCATCCAGTGCTGTGGACATGTGACCTCGAGCGAGGAGAGGCGGAGAGAGAAAGAAACAGTCCTACAGACGTGCATTAGCTGTTTTACTTATGCTTGTACAGATCCAGGAACAGTCTGTGTAATCATGCCTTCCACTTTCCACAAGCTGCCGCTCTTTTATTCTCTTTCTCTCTCTTCTTTCTTACCCTCAAGCGACACTCTCTTTTCTCTCTTTCTCTCACTCCCTTGTTCTCTGATTCTCTAAATGTTTGGCCTTACTCACTCGCCCCTTTTCTTTGCTCTGTTAAGCCTCGGTGCAGTTTAAGGTTTATCTCCAGACTGTGTCTCACCGCCACCTTTATCTCCACTCTTTCACCTCCACCCAGTTCTGCTCTCTTTTTCTTCGTGCCTCCTCGCTCCTGCCCTGTCATCTCCTATCTTCTGCTTGTTGTGACTGTGTTGCAGCAGCTATTCATTAAACTATTACTAAGTTTAAGGCTTATTAGGTTGTTTCAAAAAAGTACTAAATCAGGTTGCAATATTAAAACTTTTAGGAGAGAGAAGGAATTGCGTATAAACCCTTTAGATAATATCCTAGATGGTAAAGATCTCAATTCTGTGTAAACATCTGTGACACTGTACAATTACAGTAAACCAATCAGCTATGTAAACAGGAAGTCCCTCCGGCATCATGAAGCAAAACTTCCAGAAAACAGTTTTATGTGACCAAGTAAAAGCAAATCCTTCATCCTTTAAAGACTCATTGACACTGGAATGTGTTTCAGAATGACTGTGATGGTTTTCACGTAGTTTAGTTTGAAAGACGTTTCTGAACAAACCTTGTTGGTCATTCAGTTACTGCCACAGGGTTTTGTAATTGAAGGCATATTGTTATTGTGCATGAGTTATTATCTGGTTAATCAAGTATATTGTTGACACTCTTTGTCATAGATTGAGAGTTGAGCTACTATACAGTAAATCTTAAAGCAGAAATCCACCAATTTTACACATACAAGTCTGAAAACTGTGGCGGTAGCTGCAACTGTAAAACCAGATAAGTTAATTTAACTTAAAAGATCTGATAACATTGAACATTTTCTCCAGCTGAACTGTTTGAGTTCAAGTTGCATTGTGGGTAATGTAGGCGCCAAGTTTTGACACGGAAGAAGAGTACATTGGCTAAAAACGATAAACGATCGGGTTCTGCTGCATCGATCATTTGGTGGCGAACTCTTTTTAAAAGCGTGATAGCCAGGGAGCAAAGTTATCACCAGCTACCAGCCAAATCTTGAAAATATGCAAGTGGCTTGTAGATTTGCTTCACTCACGGGCAAAAAAAAACTATATTTTGAGGAGGCTCCAGAATTAACACCAAATCCAGGTAAATTTTGTTGTAATATTAATAATAGTGATGTCAGTTAAATTAGAACAGAGCTATTGAATATTAAATAATCCATCTTTGCTCACTACATTGAAACCTTTTTTACCCTCAAGAGTGCTTAAACTACAGGTTATAAACTCCTTTTTAAAATACAAAAAGGCAAAATTATCTGTTAATAATATTGGCTGAATAAAAAAAAAACATCACTAGTAATAATTTTTAGTCAAATAATACATGATGCAGTTTTATGGCTGGTAACAAATATTTTTGGCTTGTAAATTTTTCTTATTTTGACCCAGAAAGTTAATTTTGGACGGTGTTAAAATCTCCCCTAGTAAACAGTTATTATAATCCCAGTTTGAAGGTACACTCAGCTCTGGCTCCAGTAGCCGTTTCCTCTCCTCCCTTTTTCCTCAGATATCGCTCCATCATTTCCTGCTACAAAATGATTGCCATTCCTCCCCACCGCCATCCTTATATCCCTCATTTCCTCCACTCATTTTCTTGCTTTCCCATTTCCCCTTTTGTGTCTGGTGTCCTGTGTTTGTATGCGCTGTAAATACATTAGGAATGAGCCAGAGAAAACCCTCATTTTCTCCCTGGTGCTCCTTCTGCACAACAACACACACACATACTCCATATCTCACACATTGTCCCAGACTCGGCACTTGTTTCCTCTTGTCGCCATCACATCTTTCCTTTGTTTCTCCACCATCCTTCTCTCCTTCTGTCCCTCTCTCCTTCCATTATCTCTGGGTTTAAAGTGGTTTATTTTCATCCCAGTACAGCAAATAATTGTGGGAGCTTCACAAGGTTGGAAAATAAAGTGATCACCTCTTGAGGAATATCTTGATCAGATATTTATTTACTGGTAGATTGCACGGCAGCAAGGGGGGCATGTTTATGTTCATGCTACTGACAGGGCTCTATAGATGGCAGTGTCTGTTTGTCGGTCCACCGCTTTGATGAAATATCACCACAACGCATAATGGATTGCTAGAAATGTTGACATTCATGTTCCCCAGAGGGTGAACCTTAAGGCCCTGACAGACCAAACTGACATCAAAGAACGACGGTGACAAAAGCCGACTGTTGTGTTACCTCACGTCGCCTGTCACACTGCACCGATTACAGCAAACGACCAACTAGCGTGTACGTTCTACGCCGGCGCCAGAGGTAATAACTCTCCATATCAACAGGTGGCAATAATATGCCTTAATTATTCAAAGAAGAACAACAGAAGACCTGCAGATATTAACAAAAGCAGCCCTATGGATGTTGATTCGCCTGCTCTCACTTAGAAAGTTTTCGTAAAACTGCAACTTCTAATCTCGAAATATCCGTGTATTTGAGTAATCGATGAAAAATTATTGCCCTCTTGATGACGTCGCTTTTCTCACTTCCGTTTCTCTTCTCGTGCACTGATTCGCTTCACTGAACAGCCAATAACTTAATTACTTTTTTTACGGCTGCGGTTGAATCCCAGAAGAGCCCCCATTTATGTTTCCAGCTCGAAAATGGTAAGTCAAAGTTATTTATTTTAAGGAAATTAGAGATCTTATACAAAATGAAAAAGTTGAGGCAAAACTACAAAATAAAAGAAATGAATAAAAAGCTGAAACTATCTGTAATAAAGAAACACGTAAATAAAATCCTCACTACCTACTCGTACATCCAAACTATAATACAGCCAACAGAGCACCTCTACTCTGTGTGTATCTACACACAGTGCAGCTAAATGAGTGCGATAATCAGTTTGCTTTGATTAAATCTAAACCACTAAACAACAATGGTGAGGCACATGTGGCAATCTGCAACTGAACCATCTGCCATGACTGTGGGGCTGATCAGGCTTTATAGTCTCTGTCCCAGGTGCGTTGTCGTAATTGGATGTCCACAGTGAGTGCTGATCCAATCATGGTCTTCAGCTCTAGAGAGGGGCAATAGCCATTTGACATAAAACCACTAGAACAGAGTTAATTGCACAGGTGGGTGTTGACTGTAGCCGCACTAGTAGGTTGACATTTATGCTGATAAGTAAAATGTTTAATTCCAGTCACCTTTTGAAAAATATTGTCCCTAGACAAAATGATTAATACAACTTTTAGTTTAAATCGTTAACTTATTACAGTGTTTTTATAGAATAAATACACAGGAGCAGAATTTTGACATTTTGTGATGCATTTCAGCCGGTCACTAAGGTTTGAGTCATAAAGTCTGTACTTATTCAAAGTTGGATGAAGTCAAAGCTCTGCATTAATGGTGGCTTCATCCATCATGACGCACAGTGCAATGTGATTATTTAAGACTGGGCCATATGTTGAAGCGTTACTCTGAGGGACAGGAAACACTGGAGTGCTGCTGAAATATAGAGCCCTGTAGCTAAAACAGAAATCAGCTGCCTGGTGGACTGGAAAATAATGAGAGGGACTTTGCATCCCCATGACACCTCTGGATAGTCTCTCTCCTCCCTGAGGTAGACTACCCTCCCTCTTTCATCATCAATTAGTTCCTTTCTTTCTCTATTTTCTTTTCTTTGTCTCGTTTTCAAGCTTTTTTTTTGCTTCGTTTATCTTCCTCAGTAACTCTTGTCAGTTGTCGCTGAATCTACCTTTCTCTGAATTGTTTCCTCTCAACTCTCCCTCTCTTTCTCTCTCTCTCACCAGTTCAGCTTATTTTGATTGAACCTTGTGATATGTTTCCCATCACCACCACAATAGAGGAGCAGAATTGAGCAATCTCCTGAACGTGGAGTGTGTGAAGCTCTCTCTCTTTCACGCTTTCCAGCACACCAAAGTAATACCTGGAAAGACTTGTTTTTACTTCGACATTTTTATTGCATTGTCACCTTTAATAGCAAGAAAATTGAGAAGATAAAGGAGGAGATTGTGACAGAAGTGCTTGACCAGATATAGAATCAGGGGATGACAGTTACATGGTAAACCTTTGTGTGAAAGTGACACTCA